AAGGAAGGTTCACGGCGGTCTCTCCTGAGCCTGTTTACCTCGGTCCCCTCCGGCAAACCTGTAGCTTCACATAACGTTGTAATTGTCTCAAACGCGCTTTGCAAATAACTGTCAATTTCTTTCCTGTTTGTTGCAGGGCGTACGAGAATAGCTTAAAACCAACCAACTCTGTCTTCGCCCCCCCCCCCCCCCCCAAAAAAAAAAAAAAAACCACCAAAAACCCAAACAAACCCAAAAAACCTCTTTAGATAGGGTACAGCAGAATTGCTCTGTCTGCCTGCCTGCTCCACAGTGCAGTCAGCTCCGGAGGAAAAATGAGGTTCCTGTTTGTTGCAGGGCGTACGAGAATAGCTTAAAACCAACCAACTCTGTCTTCGCCCCCCCCCCCCCCCCCAAAAAAAAAAAAAAAACCACCAAAAACCCAAACAAACCCAAAAAACCTCTTTAGATAGGGTACAGCAGAATTGCTCTGTCTGCCTGCCTGCTCCACAGTGCAGTCAGCTCCGGAGGAAAAATGAGGGAGCAGAGCATGTAGGTACAGCACGCCTACGCTGGAAGCACAGAGCTGTTTGAATTGAGTATTTAGACAGCCCCTTTCTTAAGGGCTGCGTGTGCCTAGTGTTCAACCCCATTTGGGCAGAAGAGGGTCTGGGAGACCCTCTAGGAGACTAGGAGAGGCCTAGTAGGAGGAGAGCTGAAGCAGATAACTGGGTATTGGGAGAGCTGGCTTGGTGCTAGTTTTGCTGAAAGCTCCTTCTATTCCCCTAGGGAAATTCCTGGTTTCTTTTCTCCTCCTCTTTCCTATTTAAGTGAAAGAGGGAGGGGCAGTAAGTAAATACGTGGGGATAGGTGCAAGAGGAGTGGGAGTTCAGGTCACAGGTATGGTGGGATATATTGAGAACATCAGGAAGTGTCAAGAGGGACAGAGTTTATTTAAATGACCTGTGATCTTGTTGTTTCTGCCGCTGTAGACATTCTGCCCATGAGAGCAACGTACATTTATACGTGCCCTTCCCTTAATTCAAAGAATACAGTGTTCTGTATGTATGTGTATATATATTACAGCTCTCAGGTTGTTTGAGTATGATCACTTTGCATGACTTGTGAAATGAAAAATACTTTTTAAAATCTTTTTTGTCAAATATACGTATACAAGTCCACCAAACACAAGTATGGGGCATGCTTAAAACATTCTTTTTAGTCCAATAAAATGTAATATTTTTTAAGAGAAAAAAAAGAGTTGTTTTTCCCTATGAGGTTTTAATCTAAAAAGCCTTTCCTGAGATAGACGCAAGGAAAACAGTGCCTTCAGGTCTTTCTGCAGTAGCTCATGATGGGCTAAGTGTGTGTTAAACAGTTGTGTCAGTGCAATGGTGACTAATGGGAATGAGCCAAGACTTCAGCTTATTTTATTCTGGTGACTTTGTTCTTGCTGGCTGAAGCGAGTTAAAGTGCTCTGTGATATTTTGGCTTATGCAGAATTGTTCAAGAGCAAGTTGTGGCTAACTAGTGAGGAATGTCACTCTTTCTCCATGTCCCGTAAGTTGTAGATGCTCTGGTGCTTTCTAAGCGAGGCAGTGCAGAATCAAGCAGTGTGCTGACTGCGCGTGATTTAGTACAGAGCAAGGAGCTGATCAGTCTGTGAGCTGTCCAAATTAAACTGAGCTACCAGAGATCATTAGTTCTAAAGTGTGTTTTAATATCTAAAATCCTCAAAGTGAAAAAAAATTTCTCTTTTATGCAGCAAAGGATGCTTTGGAATCACAAATGTAGAAGTATAAATAACTTTTGTTTCAGTAGGGCTCTATCTAGTAATCTGTTAGGTAGTACTTGAAATGAGGATTTGGGGAGTTAGATGCTGAACAAAATGATTTAAAAATAGTTCAATGTACATATCTGCTACTCTCCCTTGTTCTCTCCTCCTATTCCTCCCTCCTGTTCCTGCAGTGATCTGGCTCCACGGTTGATACTACAGCACTACAGCTGTATTTGCTGATCTGATGCTCAGCAACTTTGTGGGCCCGCTAGGAAAAAAGTGAGATGGATCTTCCTGGTGTATTGAATGTCCTTCTGGCCTCAGCTAGTACGCAGGGTACTCCGTACGTGATAGTGGAGATTTCTGGTTCCTTTCAGCGGTGTATGAGTGAATACTTTGTGAAAGGAAGTTAAAGGAACTTTCTGTTCCAATATAATGGTAGATTAATAATCATGGATGAGAAAGCACTTGTTTAGTGCATCCTAAACATCTGACCCAAAGGCACAACTACTCATGCAGTCTCTTCTGAGTGCTAAGGTGTCTATCCTTATTGCAGATTTTTCTAAAGGTTTTGTTTGTATAGTAAAGAATATATATTTTATTTACTTGTAAACTGTGAGATAATTTAAGTGCAGACAAGATTAAATGAATATTGGCTTTTTTAATATCCCTTTCCAAAGGCTAAAGAACAGAAAGAGATATCAGCAAGTTGCAATACTAGGAGTGTTCTTTAATGATATCTGAAAATATAGGCCACTAATAAAAGGTCACATAATTTAGAAGATTACAATTATTAATGATAATTAAAATTCTAATGAGTTATGTTGGATATCTGCAGGTCAGACTGAATATTTCAATCTGAAATACTTTGATGGTGAGGATCCTTGTAGGATCTCTGTTTTCAGAGCCTAATGCAGTAATTATGCATTGCCTAGCTCATTGGTGGGTATCCTAATGATATTTTTAAAAATAGATTGAAGTTGCTTGCATTACAGATTTGCAGAAGGAGCTGGCTGCATTGATCCTTGTGGGAGGATTAAAAAAGTGCACTGAAAATTTGGGGGATTGGATCATCTTTGCCAAGTCTCTAGGTTGATTATAGGTTGGATTGAAGGGGCAAACCTCTTCTGAGGTTGACCTTCAGAAAAGGATATGAAGAACAAAGTAGGACAACACATAAATTATTGCGTACTGACTTAAAGTTGGCATGGCTGGTAGATATAGAAGGCGATGTAACGTTAGAACAAGTGTGAAACAGGGCCTCTGGGTTTTATTCCAGATTCTTACTAACTGGCTGGGTAATTACTCATCTCTCTGGGTCTCCTTCTGCCCATCTGGTAACCTACCTAACTGCCAAAACTGTTGCAAGGCTTTAGTTAAAGGTGAACTGCAAAGCAAAACAGTTGGTATGTGCCCTTTGGTGTTCTTCTGTGGTGTGTAGCCATGCCTATGATATCTTCTTCCCCCAGCTCTACAGGCTCCTTACATCAAGTACACCAACTATTAGAAAAGAAGGCTAGAAATATTTCGCAAATTGTACATATGAACTGTCTGGTAGTGAATGAAGGAGCAACAGCCGCCAAGGTTAAAATTTGGTAAAGTTGCCAAAAGTTAGATTACTCAAGAGTGAGGAAAAGTTGAGGAAGGTTTTATCAATGTAGACTACGCTGGAAGAAGAGGACTTTAATGTGTAAGGTGAGAGAAAGAACTTAGACTTGTGAAGGAAAATGTTTTAGGTCTTTTGGGGGATTGCTAGAGAGGATAACGCTTCTCTTTTCTGTCTTGTCTCCTCCAAAATGTGTGAAAGATTACAGTGGCTGGTCTGTGTGGTAAACTGATGTTATGAAATCTGGGAGGCTTTGGCAAGGATTCTTGAAAAACGAAAGGGGGAAAGAGAGCTAGTATGAGGGATGTGTTATTGTCACTTAGCAAGAGGAAAGTGTAGATTCAGTGACTTCCATCTTAGAGCAACAGCTGTGTGGCGCTTGCAGTACAGCAGGATGGTGTTTTAGTCTCTGGGGTGCAAGTAGCATGGACTCCTTGTGCTCGCCTATATGCATCACCTATTCACAGCATTAATTACTCTGGGGTGTGTCGGTGTGTGGATAGTCTCAGTTTGGATTGAGAATGCCTATTTTGCTTTAGCTAACAATGGGCTAATTATTTTGTTAAACAGCTTTGGCTGAGTTATAATAAAGGATATACTGACTTGCACAAGATAATTGCAGTTATGAATTAAAGATGTCTTGATTTGATTTGTTTGTTTGTGTGGATATGCTCTTACTGCTGTTTATAAGCCCAATACAGAACTTGGATTACAGAGGCTTTTATGATCAATATTTATTTAAAGAAAAAATTCCTGACAAAATATAGGCTTCTTTATGGTGTGTAGCCAAGACTCGTTTTCACTGCAATTTTTCCCCTGGACAAAGTCATTTATAATTAATTAGGCAAAGAGTGTTTAAGGAGAAACAAATACACAAGGATAGAGTCAGACGTGTGTGAGCATTGATGGCTGTAAGTAAAGTGGAAATATTGTCTTAGTAAATGCAAAGCTTCACATTCACAGTGAGGTTGTGTGCAGCTTATATTAAGCCAAGTAGCCTTAATTAGCTCCGCTTATTGGGAGTAACATGAATTAATAGGAAGAGACTAGAACGATGATGGGGGGATGTGCTCTACGTAGCTTTGTTTTGTGAGATGCCTTCTGTGCCATTTTGCCTAGAATGAACGTCTTTATTTCGAATCACAGCGACTGATTCTGCTGCTAAAATATCTCACTGTTGTATTTGGATATTAGACTTCTCTAAAACTAAATTAAAACATTTCTGAGCGCAGAGGAACATGCAACTGTTTGCCTTTTTCCAGATTTTTCTCTTCAGCAACAAATCATTGTATGTTACTCTTTAACTTCCAAACTGAAAATTCAAGCGCTTATATGGTTTTTTGTTTTGCTTTTCAGATTGTTTCAAGAAAAAGTCCAGAGGATGTCCAGGAGGTAACAGTTTAAACTTGTGCAAATGTCTTTGTGTATCACACTATGCCTTTTGAAGTATCTTTGGTATAATTTAGCAGTTTCTGTGTGTTTTGTCATTGTAATTGAGCAAAGTTTTTTGTATGTTTCCATTTGTCTTTAGCTTTCATAGTTGAAAACAGTAGCTGGTGTAACATGTTGTAATTCATCCCTCAGTGATGAATTGTGACTTGAAACAAAGTCTTAGGGAGTAAAATGTCTTTTGATGACAAAACTGCTTTGATAACTTCGCAAGCTCTTTTCTGAGGGCTGGAGTTGGCAAATTGATGGCTACTTAACACCTACTGGTAAAATTAGAGATCAGTCCACAACCCAAGTCTTAAGTCTCAGCTGTAGGTACTCTTTTCCTCTTTAACCAATACTTCACTGAAAAGCCTACTTCATTACTGTCTATTAGTGAAGAGGGAAAATGGAGGAGCATAGGAGTAGTTGAGAGAGATTAGACTGCAAGTCATGTGTTATGCCTATCTCTCTGAGGCTCCTTAAGTATTTTCCAGCGATATACTTTGGTAAAACTTTAAAATTGCTTACCCTTTGCCTCTTCTGAAAAGGCTCTGAATAAGGGTCTGCTGTATTCTTGTGCCTCTTTAATACTTCAAAAGACTGTCAGGAACCATTTTATTAAGACAAGAAAATACATCACGCATGTGTGGGTTGCGGGGTTTGGTTTTTGTTTTCTTTTTTTTTCTTTAGATTAAAAAACTTTTTTTCCCCTTTTGACTTCTTCTGGACTAATGACTTGACGTTGATACTATTATACTATGTACATGAAAAATACTTCTTCAAAAACACAACCTTATGGCTTTTCAGACATTGTGTAACATGTCCATATGTTCAATTTCTGGCGCAGTCTCTTACTACAGTTGAGGAGAACCTGGATAGTTGATGAAAGAAGAGCCCATAAATGAATTCATTGCATCTCTGTGTGGTCAAACATGAGTTACTGATAGTGGCTTGGCAGAGGTGAGAATTGGCTAATACACCTAACACCCCTTTGTTGCATCCTTCTTTGAAATCTTGAGAATCAGACAAACATGAGCATTCATGCTTTTTGCATTTTTTTAATCTCTAGAAGATTAAAATAGCCTATCAGAATCAGAGATGATCATGGATCTAGTTTTACAACTGCATTACCGTAGTTTGTAGCTTCATGTTCACCTTTTCCAGGGAGACTCCTGAATTGAACCTATCCATGAGCACATTCTGCCATTACCTTAATCTTCATTTGTGGGAAAAACACTTTATAGCAGCTGTTGATGAGCCATTCATCAGAAAAATATATTGTAAGTGTCTTTCAGCTAGAGTATTGCATGAATATATGTTAAGTAGTTTTGAAACAATAGCAAAACCGTATCTTTTAGTCATTGCTTTGGTCGTTGCTTTGATCTGTGGCTGTAGGTTAGCCATGCAGAGTTCCACATTCTTTAGACAACAAGAAGACATAAATGTGCTATGAACTTGTTGATGATTGCCCTTTTCCACCCCTGGTTGTACCAAATTAATTATTTTGCATGTGATAGCATGTTAGGTGTGGTGTGATTCTGTTATAAGCAAGCATCTGAAAGTACCTAGTTATTAAAAGAATATCCTAGATGGTAGCTGCCATAAGGGTGAATTGTAGTCAAAAAACCACATATGTTGGGAGCTTTTCTGTTATGCTGGCTTCCTACGATTAAAAAAAGAATTGTGGGCAGCCTTTGAAAGAAAAAGAATATGCTCCTAACCTGTTCCCACTGAAAAGAAATTTACCTTGGTTTTCCAGAATGCTCAATTAGAAATTCAATCGACAAAATTTTGTGCGCACAACCACCCTGTTGCTTTATGATCTCTCATGCAACCCCCTTCCCGCATTCATATAGGACCACTTAGCTGTGCCTGCCTACTCGTTCAGAAGTCTCTTTTAATGTCACTGCTGTGATGTTAATACATACATTATGTGTGTACAACTGTACACAAGGCTGTGTGCTGTGACCTCAACTCTACCTGCCAGTTTTCTGTCACCTCTTTTAACTGCCCTTTGGGATATAAGCCTTTAATACAGCATCTCTCCCACTGCAACCAATTACAATTGAAGATAACCCCAGCTGTTGTTGCTGGGACAGGAAGGAAGATAACCTTGTAAGGGCTTCTCAAAAGGATGAAAGAAGTTAACGTGAAGTTATGTGTGGACGAGTTAATAGATACAGAAAGGGTAGCGGACTTAACTTTAATTTCCTTGCTTCTGGGGATTGATGGTGGCAGCATGGTGTGTGAGGCAATTGTAGCTAGGGTAGTCTTGTGGGGTTTTTTTTCCTCTTACTCATTCATGGAGGAGAAGGGGTTGTTCATTGTGGAGCAGATGAGTCAGATGAGTTAATAGAGATCTACTGGCTCTAGCCATGACAAGCACCTTATTGCATTACAAGTCTAACATATGTTTTATGATATACTTGCTGTGCTTCGTTGGGCTTCAAAGTACAATGTGTCCTTCCTCCAGATCTGATTTCTAATGAGTATGTTAGAGTGGGAACTTTGCTAACTTTGCTGAGCCGCATGCATGCAAAGGCATGATTTCCATGAGCTTGTGTAAGGTTTTAGGATGACCTTGAATGCTTTTGCTTTGCAAGCTACTTATGGTTATTTAATTTCTTCCTCTTGGCTATCGGGAGATCACTTGCAGCAGTAAAAAATGATACTTTTTTAGTGGAATGGAATCTCATGCTCTTATTTTCTGGCAGCTTTTCACGTTGTGTCCAAGTACTGACAATACAGGAACGTGATGTTTCAAGACTTCACCATCTTAAGCAATTTTATGTTCTATATGCTGCTTGAGAAGCGCGAATCATCCACTTTCTGGATATCAGATTAGATGGAAGTACATCGTTGAAAAATGATTGCTGATGGTAGCAAAATCACTAGTTGGCCTTCTTGAGAGATTCTGATTTTTCTTCCCTTGTCTGTTGAACTCCACCAAGTACTACTTGTAATTGAGTCCTGGAAATGTGTGCACAATAGGTGGGGCTGAATCAGAACTGCTAGTTTTAGTGTAGCTAAGTTTATAAGGTGGATAGAGTGTTGCCATATTAAAGCTTTGCATATCCACTGTTAATGGTCTTGTTACCTTGTATCTGCATTGTAGGTAGGACTACTGTAGGTAGGACTTGCATCTGCTGAAACTTAGAAGGCCTCTGACCTTAGCGTTTAAAAAAACCAAACAAAACCCCTCCAAAACCCCCAAAAAACAACAACAAAACCCCCTCTAAAATTAAACCTTTTACTTAGCTCTAAATCTGGTTTGCTTGAAAAAAGTAGTTTTTCAATTATGATCGCTCATGAAAAGGCAACCTGTTAAATCCCTCAGAAATATTTGGAATCTTTGAAATTGTGGTTAGTTGTATTAAGCTAATTGAGACATTTGACTGATGGAACACTGGAATCAACTGTTGAATGCATTGCAGTCTCTCTTTTTTTTCCTGTTCTACTTTAATCACTTTAAATTAGTGTTGAGGTTTATTACATGGCTCAGTGAGCCTGACCAAAAATGAGGCCAAGATATAAAATGTCTTTGTTCTTTTTTTTCCATCCTGATAGCAAACCTGTTAGTAGTCAAGTGTAAATTTCATTGCTCAGTTCTTTCCCTGGCCTGATTTTCCTATTGGGTTCCTCTCCTTCCTTGAATGGAAAGAATACAAAGAATGAGATGGAAGAAGGATAAGGTAGATACCTGGCTGGGAGATGACTACTTCTTTCTGGAAAGGATGGATCAGGAAAAGCTGATGTAATGAACCAATGCTCTCTTTGCATTCCTGAGGTTGGAGATTTTGTCTAGATTACAAAAGGAACATATGCAATTTTTCATCAGGGTTATTAGTAATAAACCATTTAAAATGTGGGCTTGCATTTACACCTGATCAGCATTTCACATAAACAAATTATGAGCTGGTTTGTAGTTCTGGGTGTTTAATGTGCTGTCCTTAAGAATCCCTTACTTGTATTGATTTCTCTTCCCTCATTTTCTCTTTTGCTGTTGTCTTTTCCCCATACCTGCAGCTGCGCCAAGCACAGCATGCTATTGAGCGTTGGATAGTGCAACGCTACTATTAGGCTTTTTTTCCTCTCTTACTGGTTCCCTGTGTAGCTCTGGATCGCAGTGTGACTGAAACAGTGCTGCCTTTGCCCTTTCTGTTTCCTTCTTTCAGCTTTTACTTAGTATTTTCTTCTATATGCTGTAGTCTTGTTAGTCAAAATGGGGATTGAGGACAGATAATGACCATTTTTTTTAATGGTTGTTACAGTTGGCAGTTCAGATTGTATATTTTTGTTAAACATTTGCTGAAGGTAGTGGTCTGATTTGCTTAAAATAATGTATTTGTGGTGTGATGCAATGTGAACAATGAACCTCACCAATACTTCTCTCCCCTTTCTCTGCTTCAGATAGTCGTTTGGAAGAGATACAGTGACTTTAAGAAACTGCACAAAGATCTCTGGCAAATTCATAAAAACCTATGCAGACATACAGAACTCTTTCCACCTTTTGCCAAAGCAATAGTATTTGGTAAGCATAATTTCTTCCTGACTTGCTCAAATTCTTTGATAACTCAATATCTATAAATACATCTTGTTTTGCGGCTACATGGAACTCTTTTCCATATGCTTTTACTACTCAGCTTTTTGGTTTGTTGTGTCTTGCTTGTAGGCTGGTATCATAGCTTGATACTTCTATTTTTTTTTTTAACAGGGGTAGTTATGTCCTCGCTTCCATGTTAGAGATATTACCACAAATATTTATTGATGTATATGTTCTGTATCTTTACAATGTACATTCCCTGTTTTCAGGAGCATAAAGTCTATATTAGCTTTGTGAACAGCACTTGAACAACGAACACAGATTTTCATATGAGCTGTCTGTGATTTTTAGTGATGAGTTATAGTAAAGTATCAAGCGGTTGTTGCAGAAAATAAGTTTGTATTTTAGGAATTTGAATGTAGTTATCAATTTTATCTAGCTAGGCTTTTGAGATCAGTTTTACGTATAGCAGTTAACTATTTCACCAAAACAACCCACCACCACAACAAAGATTGTAACTTTACATGAGAAATAGATGGCAAAAAGTAATTAGCTCTTAAAAGCCAAAGGTCTTAAATTAATCCTGTTGTATATGTCATCATGAATGAGCTATAGGTGGACTTTCAGTGAAGCGGTATGACTCCATATGGAATTCCTTCTACCACAATTCTTTTTAGCAGTTTTTTGTGTTTATTTTATTGGTGTGGGTTTTTTTGTTTTAGCATGTGTCCTTTGTGTTCAGCACGAAGTGTTGCTGTTTTCTTGGCATACATATGCCACACTATCCAGTGGGTTTTTAAGCATTTTTCAGCATTTTTTTACTGTGTCCAGTATGTTTGGCGTCTTTTTCGCATGTATGTTTTCACACGTGCTTTGTGTTTCTAAGCTGTGTGCTAACTGTCCGGAATGGGTTTGGTGCTTTTTGGTGTGCATCTACCATGTGCTTTCGAGCCTTTTTTCCAAGCATTTTAACGTTTTTTTAGGTGTCCAACAAGTATTTGGCATTTCTTTGAATGCATCTACTATGTGCTCTTTTTTTGGTTTGGTTTTGCCTGGCTTTTGGGTTTCTAAAGTGCTTATGGGGTTACTAAGGCATTTCCGTGGCATTTACGAGTTGCTCTAGTGTATTATTTTTTTAAAACATCCAGCCTTTGTTTATGCTTTTTTCTGGTATGCATCTAGTATGGTGTTTGGCGTTTTTTGGCATGTATCTCCCATGTGCTCTCTTTCTTTTTTTTTTTTGGCAAGGTTTCTGATATGGATTTTGGGCATTATTGATTCCTAAGGCATGGCTGCAGCATTTTTTCTGTCCAGGATTTCTTTGGCATTGTTTTTGGTGTGCATATACCACGCAATTTTCTGTGGGTTTTTAAGTGTCCAGCATGTTTGGCCTTTTTTGGCATGCATCTACCATGTGCTCTTCTTTTGGCAAGGTTTCTGGTGTGGATTTTGCATGTTTTTTTGGTGTGGGTTTTGGTTCCTAAAGCATTGCTGCAGCATGTTTGGCATTGCTGCGTCGGTGTTTCGAGTGTCCAGCACGTTTGGTGTTTTTTGCCATGTATCTCCCATGCACTCTTTTTTTTGCCAAGGTTTTTGGTGTGGATTTTGCACCTTTTTTTGGCATGCTTTTTTTTTTGTTTCTGAGGTGTTGCTGTGGCATTGTTTTCTATTGTCATGGTGTTTCTAAGATGTTTTGGTGGGTTTTTAAACATACAGCACACTTATCTATGATGTGCTTTTAAGTGTGTTTAGCATCCAGCATGGGTTTGGCTTTTTTTTTTTGCGTCCTGTTACCACGTGCTTTTTTGTGTTTTTTCCATATTTCTTGCTGAACACTGAAAATGCTGAAACATGTTTGGCATTTTTGGCATGCATGTAGTGCATGCTTTTGTGTCTATTTTGTGTGTATTTGCACGTTTTCCATGTGTTGTGCCGGTTTTCCATGCTTATCATGCATGGTTTTGCATGTTTTTTCCATATGTTGTGCATATTTTAGTATCCAGCCAGTGTTTGGTGTGTTTTGGCATGCATCTAGTGCCTGTTTTTGTGGTGTTTTTTTTGTGTGTAGCATTTTTAGCAGTTTTAGTGGTGTGGGGCATACATCTAGTGCATATTTTTCCGTGTTTTTCCTCGGTGTCACACATTAGCATGTTTTAGCATCCAGCATGTTTCACATTTTTTGGCATGTGTCTATTGCATGTTTTTACATGTTTTTTCCCCTGTGTCATGATTTTAGTGTGTTTTAGCATCCAGTATACTTTTGGCAGTTTTTGGCATGCATCTACTACATGCTTCACATGGAAAAATGTGCAAAAACATTTTTCGCATTTTTGCATGCTTTTAGCATAAACTTTTGTTCACTTTTGTGTGCCCTAGCATTTTTTTGTGGTTTTTCTGCATTTTTAGTTTCTTAGTTGTGTGGTGATGGTTTTGTGTTGTTTGTTTTTTTTTAAATATTCTACTTTTTTTGGTGTATTATGCTTTTTGGTGTGTGGTTTTTTTTGGGTTTACTATTACTTTGGGATGGTCAAGCCTGTCAGTTTGGAAAGTGCCAAAACTGAGGTTGTTTAGTCAGCCTTTTTTTCACCACTTTGTGTGACAGCACTATAATACTGCCTGGGGTTATAGTTCTGTGTTGGTATTTGCCGGTCCTCTTTTGCTTTGAGAGCCAGAGAAACTGTATGAAACTCCCCTGGTGGCAAAACCTCAGCCTGGAAAGCACAAATTTTCCTTTTGATGTTTCGGGACCAAATACTGCCACAGATTTGTAATTTTTGCTACTTGGTGTTCATTTTTGATGACTACTGCATGTAGGCATGGCACTGAGAAGCTTAAAAGAATATACTAGCATAAACAACTTTGAACAAGTTGAAGTTAGCTTGTAACCCAAGCCCAATCTGCCCCTACAGCTTTGGGGGAGCCTCTGACTTAACTCCTTGTTGTGTGGACCAGCTAAGTGTAATGCAAGGAAGCTGAACTCTGATGCAGATTTCATGGTTCTCTTTGCAGAGCTGGGTAAAATTCCTGGTTTAAATTGTCTTTCACGTTGGCTAAATTGTATCCAACTTTCATGTAATTTTATTTTTTCTTATTTATGAAGTTGGAAGCAGGGTAAATTTCAGTGCTATGTCAGAACTTGTGCACTAATGGTTAAATGGAGAATGTAATATTAGTTTCATCCTGAGAAGATTTTATATTGGATTTACAGAGTAGTCACTGGACAAGTTATTTACAAAGCTAGTATTTGCAAAGCAGAATTTAATTTCAGGTAGAAGATACGTTAGCTTTTAATAGGAGAGGAAAGAGAGGTGTAAAACGAAGAGAAAATCGGGGTGGAAGAGAGTACACGCTTCTAATCTTAAATAATTTTGAATTGCCAGAAATGCAAATTAGCTGTTTTTACACTAGCTCTGTAAGCAAGGGAAGAATTGAGTGAAACCCCTTCTGAAAGACATCCTTCTTCTATTGTATTTGGTGGACAAAAGTGACTGCAATGTACATTGAAAGAGATGGAGATCTACAGAAATATTCAATGTAGTTATTTGCAAAAAAAGCTTTTTGAAATTAAAACTACACCAAAACAAAACCCACTACATTTGCATGAAGCTGAGCCATAGAAGAATACAGGAAAGAGGAGGTAATGTAAAAACAAATTTTAAATGATTGGTACGTAGCTGAAAGGAACAGAAATGTCTGACTCTTCAATTTAAGAATTATTTTTCTATTTAAAGCATAAAATTTTACTTTGTATCCTTCCATCTCACTTCTACACATAATAGCTGCTGTGTGTTTTATTTTAATTTAAAGCATTTATCTTCAGATCAGTCCTAGTATTTTTTGTACTAGAGGAAAAATGTAATCTTAGTAGATTTTGAGTTTTTGACAAACTTGTTTTCAGTCTCGTTCAGTTAATGGTGAGCTGCAAGGTCCATCCCTATTAAGATCTTTTGTTTTCAAGCTGCTTTAATGGAGCACTTGGGGAGTGTTTCTTCCCTGTGGTGATGTTCCACTTGTTGCAGCTTTTAAACTAGTTACTAATTAGCATTGCCAATAGTTGCTGGCAACTTGTTGATTTTTTTTTTTTTGGATATGTGTGCTTTAAATGTATACATATTGCTTTGCGGAGAGTACACTTTACAAAATGAGCATTGGTGGTTCTGACAGTCGAACTTACTTGTAGTAGAAGTATTAAACCTGAGCAGAATCTCAAGTTCAGCATTCAGAGTTTCAGGAGATGGTGTGGAGAACTGAGATGTATTTAAAAACAAATGGGTCACGCTGTGCTTCCATATTTCATGCAACCAAAGACTTGCCACATCTGCAGAACTGAACTGCATTGCGTGTTTTATACCACAGCTTCTGATAATTATAACGTGCAAGTACATGTATTTTTATCCTGTTACAATAGAGCTGCTCACATTAAAGCATGAAACTTGTTATGGGTGGGAAAAATAAATCATTTCACTTTTTCTGCACTTCACTTGAACCTTTTCCACCCAAGTTATGGAGAAAACATAGTGACCTCGAGCATGGAAATCTAAAACGTCCTAACAGATCCATCTGTTAAAGCTTCTCTGAATTGTTATGCAGCAATTATGATACTATTTCTGGGAAGTGATTACTCTCCTTCCCTAATATTCATCAACGTATCTCAGTATTTTCAAACTACTTTTTTTGTTGGAAGCTTTAAGTATTCCCATATATTGGCTATATGTGGCATTTTACCAAAATACTAGTAGAACAAGAAATGCTGAGTACAGAATCGAACAACTGCAGAAATTTACTCTAGTGTAAAAAATACACTCTCTCCTGACAAAAAGAAACCAAAAACACCCCAGATATTGATACCTTGCTAGCAGTGAGTCAGAAAAATGATTCGCATTATAAAGCTTAGATAAGGATACTTTTTGGATTTGAAAATACCAAATGAAGTAGCATATTTAAGAATTAGGTGTCACGTACAGTTGGAAGTCTTGTGAGAAACTAACTGGAACATGAACACAAACCTTGCTAGGTGTTTTGTTGTTCAGATCTGCTCCAGAAAATGAATCGTGCATTCTCTTTACCGGAATTTACAATTGGTTTCCATGTATATAAGAAATTCTGAATGGATCATTGCTGGAGGAATAGCAGAACTGTGCTAATGCATTTGTTATATGCTAAGATTGTAGCTGACACTTCCTACAACCCTTGAAAGACATGATCCCTATAATGAAGTTTCCATGTGTCTGAGAGGTGTAAAGAATAGTGGAAATAACATTTATTTAGATCTAGGAAGACTTCCTGATAGAAATGTTTGAAGAGTCAGATGGGTATCTAAGCACCTTTGAACATCTGATTGAGAGGGGTTATAATGAAAGTGTTGAGCAATAAAAGATAGCTTGAAAGTATGAAAAAAGGGAGAGGGGGAAGGAGTTAGGCAGGGTTGGCTGGGAATGAAACTGCCAGCAAGATGCCAGATAGTCTGTGAACAAAGCAGTGCTGAATTATGTTCTTCCTTTCCCCCACAGTCCTCTGGTTCTGTAAGTGGTTGTCCTGATAGCGTATCATGATGCTGATGAGCTGGAAAATGTGACAGTGACTAATGTTTCAATGGCTCTGTTCAAACATGTTTTTTTTTTTTTTTTTTTTTAGCTCAGCTGTCTAAGAAAATAAGGCTTATGTAATTGTGCTGTCAGAAAGTCAAACCTCTTACTCATGTGGCTATATCAGCTAAATTTGAGAGGGAAGGCGGTTGCAAATGTAATTATGTTTCTACAAAGTCTGTGAAACAGCAGCTGAGTAAGAAGAGAGTGCATGCTGTGGTGCTACCAAGGGCCAGGCAGGCTCAGCTCGTACCCGTGAGTTTGCAGTTGCCTGGACGATCGGTGAATGCGCGCTGGTCAGCCTGGCAGTGCTGGTCCTGACATGTCCTCTCTGGTGCCCAGTGGAAGTATTGAGAAGATGTGGATGAGGAAAATTAGTTTTGTTGGGTTTGATGACAGAGTAGATCGGGGAGAGAAAGATCCCTGGGAAACAAGGAAAAATACCTTATAGAGTTACTTGCTTGCAAAAGTTACCCGTTTCTGGTCTTGTTCGGTGTTTATTTCTTTGCAATTGATTTTCTGTTTCATTATAACAGTGTTTGTGTTATTTTGTAGATCCATTTAACTGTCCCATGTGGGGACATTGCTGAGGGAAGTTGTTTTTTCATGATGTCCTATTTTGCGGGGGATGAAGCAAAAGCCCTAATGCACCCGCAGTGTTGCTCTGAAGACATAGGAGGTTTGAGGAATTTAATAGAGCCTGATTTCAGTGCTGCCACTCAACGTGGTAACATTGCCTTTGCCTTCTTTCTTCTTGCTTGTTGCTCGCTCTTTTGTACGGCTGCTAATGTTTGTACAGCTGAAAGGGCAGGGTGAACAAGTCATGGAACCGATCTAGCTGAAAATTAGCCCAACGATGTCTTTCCTTTCCTTTCATGGAAAAATAATCTCCAAAAGCTTTGTTTGTGATCTTGTGAGTATGTGTGTATCTTTCTAGTTTTATTTTCTTTCTTCTGGTACCACATGGGCAGGAGCTATTTACTTGAAGAATTTCTGGAAAGAATCCTGCTTTGATACTTTCTTCTGGGATTATTTTTTTGCTTGCTCTGAGTATAAATGAATTTTGCTTCTGTATTCAGTGTTTCTTTTGTCCTCTTCAAAGGTTAATGCCACAGAGCTGTCACAGGTGGTTCTTATTTTTCTGGTCATGCTGTTACAGCAATACTGTTTCTTGAACTTGTCTTCCCAGTCCTTTTTTCCCCTCTGTATAGCTGTTCCAGTATCTGTTCTATTCTCCTCCAATTATTACTGTTAACCTCTGCCCTTTTCCTTTTGTAAACTTGTAACTATTTCAACAACAAAGTGATGTTGATATGAAAAGCTAAAATAAGTTGAGTGCAGTTGTGAAGAATGTGAATTTAAGGTAGCAATCCAAGGGTTCTTTCTCCCGAGAAGCAAATCTCTCAGGTGAACTGTGGGATTGTTTTTTAAATATGTTTTTTCTAATTGGAATGTCTTGGGTGCTGGGTAGGGAAAAGGGAAGGATCATACGTTTTGGTAAATGAGCTGCTTCCCAGCTCTGCTTACCTCTTGAATACAGGAGGAGATGAGACCCTGTCTGCATGGAGCTACTTCAGAGGAAAGCTTCGGTGCCTGGTAGCGGTGATTCACCGTCTCCCCTACACTCTGTCTCCTCCATAAATGGCACCTTGGAATTGATGATCTGTTTGGAGGCTTTTAGCAATACTTTGTTTACTATCCGCTCATATTGTGCGTTGTTCTTGAGAATATGTGAAGAATGCTCAGCTCCTTACAGGATTTGGGCCGTAATCAAGGCTGACACTGACTGGCATATTGTCAAATTGTGCATGTATCATTTATTGTTAGATAACACTGGACATCCGTTAGTGTCTCTTGACTAATCAAGAGTGTTGCTTCACATATTCTTACGACGAGAAGGCGAAGGATTCTTGTCGTAGCTGCCAGCTTTCATCATCTGAGCGGATTGCAGAAGACGGGACTCTAGGGACAATTGAGAATAGGAAGCTTGAAGATTTGCTATGTTCTTCTGAAGCATTGGAATGACTTTCATAGACTCAGGGCATTGTCTCCAGAAGATTGCTTTTGTCTTGTTTTTTTCATGGTGGTTATTTTTGCAGAATAAATGTGTAGTTATTTCTAAAACTGTCAATCCATGTGTCTGTTCCAGGGCGATTTGATGAAACTGTGATTGAAGAAAGAAGGCAATGTGCTGAAGATCTGTTGCAGTTTTCTGCTAATATCCCTGCTCTCTATAACAGCAAACAGCTTGAAGAGTTTTTTAAGGTTTGTTAGTATTTGCAGAAGTATTTACTTCTTACTGATATGAATAAAGTATAGCACTGGTTCTGCTTTACTTTATAAACTGCAGAGTGACAGTGAGCTGATCTGACATGCTTTGTGAAGTGACTGGGAGATTTCCATTCACTCTAGAAATGTGGCTTTAAAAAAACCCCAGTGCCACACCTCTACAAGGTGGAAAACTTTACAGGAACTTCAGGTGAAGGGATTTGGAATTTTTGTTTATTGAATGATGAGCAAAACCAGTGATGTTAAATCCAGGTGTTCAGTGGGGAAGTAATAAAAATATTGTCACTGTTTCTATATTTTATGTAGGTGTTTATAGTTTCAAACCAAAGGAAGGAAGACTGTCTAGACAGTTTTCTCGTGATCTGTTATGGATTCAGGTCCGTGACAACAAATTTGGCATATAACTAGTCAAACGTGCTGCTTGTACAGTGTTGTGAGAACCGCTTTCCAAAATATAGCTTAGGACAATATGTTGATCTGGACTTCCTCTTTATTACATCTTAAGCAGTTTGTTTTCAATAGTTTCCTCAAGTCTCTCTATTTTCAGTAGCTTAGTCCAACATTCTGCAAACACATAAGCGTAAATTTACATGTAAACATGATAGTAACTCCCTGGAATTAAGGAAATTCTCATCTGGCTAAGATGGGACTTAAGTGTATTGACATGTTAAGCATATTTAAGTGTTACATATGGAAAAGCAAAATTACAGTGAAGCTTAAAAGTCTTCACTTTTTTTCATGATGCAGTTATTGCAGAGCCCTTTAAAATACTTAAATAATTTTCTTTAAGCTTTGGTGGCAAAAATGAATGGGAGACTGAGTATTTTACTTCTCAGTTTATTTGCATTTGCACTTTTTTAGTTCTTTGGAAATACTTCTGTGTTTTTGGGTATTTGTTCAGAGCTCTTTTCCCCCTCCTTTGCTTAACAGAAGTATTAGTTTTAGCCTTCCAATGGACCTTTTCTGGCTTTATAAGGCAATGAATAAAACTAGAAAGGCATTGATTTTTATAGGAGCAAGTACGTCTACAAGGGGAGTTATGCAAGTGTAGTAATTTAGGCTCATTTGGTAGCTGATGTTGTGTCATGTTTTCCTGTAAGAAAGCCTTAGGTTTTGATCAGTCACCAGCTCAGCCAGTGTCCTTTAGCTCTGCTCACGGGTGGTTTTGTTCCTTTTCAGATTTTTGTGCAAATAGCCATGGAGAGATAGACTTGGACAATGAAGTCTTAGAAACAACCGAAGGGAGTGCTGTGTGTATCTATGTACTATAGACTCCAGAAAAATGGGCTGGCTAGTGTGAAAATGCTCTGGGCTAGTTCAAGACAGATTAGCAATGCCCATTTGTAACACTGCCTTGGAAATGGTGCAGTTCCTATTAAAGTTGCATGGAAAGTGAGCACCTGAAATACAAAGCAGAATTTGAAAAAAACCATTTAGGTGGTTTCTAGTGCAATTAGTTATTCCTGTTGTTGCTTCATTTACCTTTGATTCCTTCCAGGCTTGGGAGGGAATAATGTCGTCCTTATATGCTGGGATGGCCTTATCTTCCCTGTTTGTCCAGTCTCGACTACGACTGAACTCCAGATAGTGGGTCATGGGTGGGACATTAGCCTGATGGACAAACGCTCCTGCATGAGGGACCTGCTGAGCTTGGGAACACCACTGCAGGGCACAGACTGTCAGTACCACAAGAGAGCAGGAGCATCACTGTTCTCTCCCTGTTAAACTCTGGGCTTTGCAGGCAGACCTGCTGCAGCCTGTATGGTTCAGGACTCTTGTTACTCACTACAGAAGCTGCAGTAGGCTAACTGTTTAGATTCCTAGACAGTCTGTGGCAACCAAACATGGCCTAACCAAAAGCCCTTGTTTGATTTTGCAGGCTTATATAGTTTAATTAAATGCATTAACTACAAAGTAATGGAGCATTCACTGGTTAGGAAGTCTAATTTTGACTATCGCTGCTATATAATGAGACTTTCCATAGAGCACAGCAGCTAATTAATTCCTTTCCCTCTTTCTTTTCAGGGTGGAGAGGTACATGATGGGTCTGAACTGATTGGTCCCGTCGAGCCTCTGTCCGACTCTCTGACTGACAATCTGTCTGACTGTAGCTCTGAAGGTTTGCTTTCTTTACTCTTGTAACCTTATAGTGTCATCTGTTTTAAAGCAGCACATAAATGACGAGTGCCATATCTGTACGAGCATTGGCCTCCAGTTTCTGTTTGCTTGGTGTGACAGAAATGCCAGAACTGGGATTAACAAAAGAGAAATTGGGCTCAGCAAAGCTCTGTCTGCATTGCTGGGAGTTTGCTTCTAACAGGAAGTTTTCTGGGAGTTTGTCTAGTTCATTCTAGAAGTCCTAGTGCTCTGTTGCTCAAAAAGAACTGCTTTTGGTGCTAACTGAACTGAACCTTCTGGTTTAAATGTACATAATCCTGCCTGCTTCCAAAAGGTGTGGTAGTGTTTGCTACTAATGGTGACCCAAGTCTCAAGCTGTAACAATTTGCAGAGAACTTTAAAACCATTTTGAGGTTGATCAATAAATACAAAGATGACTGTCTGAATTTGCCTAGAGCATGAAAAATAGGTCTAAGATTTGAACTGCCCCATTCGTTTCAGAGGGTTCTTATTCAGCTGTTCATGCTCTGGGTGTCACCATGCTTGCAGTGCTTAGTAAAATCCAGAAGAGAGTTGGTATCATATTTTAAAAGTTTAAGTATGTCTTCTGGATGGAGCATACGGGAGCGGTGAATGTTAAAGCCTCCTGCAGGGCTCAGGGAGATAAGCAAGTTGCTTAAGTCTCTTAAGAAAAAATGCTGGCAGTTTTTGTTTCCTGAAAAGAACTCCCTATTCTTGAAAGTCTGAGAGGTTGTGTGTTAGAGCCAGTGTGGACTATGTTCAGTTGAAAACTGGAAATCCCTTCCTTAACTTGCTAATGTTTTCTGGTTGTGCTATGCCAATGGAGGGTGTGTCCCTTTTCCTGTGATTGCATTTCCTTAGCACAGTGTAAAGATGTATGTGCTGGCTTGGATACCACGTGTGGAGCAATTTTAGTGGCACTTCTCTTGCGCTAAATAATAGTATAGCTGTGAGGTACGGTCCATCAACCCAAAAAATACTGTACTAGGGCTTCTTGCCTGCCTCTGGAGGCTGAGCTAGCTTAAGCATTTCTGTGTATAATCATCTGCCAAGTACCATGCAATCTTCTGGATATTTATGTATTTGAATTATGCTTGGGTCCTTGTGACTTCTAAGAAATGCTTTTCCAACCCTTCAGATTTTCCTTTGGAACTGTTTTACACTCATTTATAAATACACATTATTATACAAACACTTATGAAGCTTATTTGGCAGGTTTTTTTTTCTTAACTGCTTAATTTCCTCTGATCTTTCTGGCATAGAACTTGCTTTGGTAAAACTCTGCTTGAATAACAAGAACTGCTTGCGTTTTCTAACGTTGGTTGGTTGGTTTTTTATTTATTTTTTGCTTGAGGTTGTATGACTTGCCACTGGGATGTCTCTGTGTCAATAACTTTGTGCTTAGTTATATAATACATTCTACATGGGCAGTGAGTTTTGCATTTTATTTTGTAGTATCTTCTATAATGTTAATGAACTAATGCCCCCATAATATTTCGTTCTGTGAAGGGAAAGGTATAGAGCTGTTTATCATAACTATCCTCTGTAATTAAGTACTGGTAACTAGTTTTAAAGGGGCACTATTCCTGTGAAATTTAACATTCCAGATACTGACAATGCGCTTATTTTACACTGTGCCTTATAAAAGAAAAAGTGCTTCTAAAAGTGCTTAATGTGAACGTTTCTATTCTTTATTCACAAGGGCCTCATTTTTAGAAGAAGAAAAACACTTCTTTTATATGAGATAAAATATTGAAAAGAAAAAAAATGCTGTAAAGTAGAAAAATTCTTTGATACTCTTCTGAATTGGCTGGAGTGGTTTTAGGGGATACTTGCAACAACTATGAGCACAGGATTTCCAGATGCTGAATGTGGCTTTTGTGGAGTTATCTTTTCTAAAAATCTATGTGTTTTCCAGCTCATATTTTCTTATGTTTGAAACCAAATTTTGGACGGGAAGGAGACTAGGGAGAGAAGGAAACATCTGCCTTTAAGCCCTCTAGATGGCAGTGGCAATACTCGGCTCTGAGTCTTCTCCCTGCCTCTCCTCAGGGCATCCTGCCTGCATCTAATTTTTCCCAGTCTGATTATCGTAGTTAACTGTGACTAGTTCACTGTGTTAGTTTTTGTGAACGTTCAAGGGCCTCCACCTGGGCACTGCTCCTTCAAGCTGTTGTACTGAGAAGTATCAAACCCATTCTTTAACAGGTGCTGGTGTTTGCTTATAAGGGTGGGTTGTGTTTTCTCACTTTTATCTGTTCTTTTCAGACAAAGTTCAGTCTGCAGAAGGTGTGCACATTAATGGTAGAAGATGCAAACTGATAGTAGTTAGAAATGTTTTTGTACCAAAATAAGCGCTAAGTATCTTGCTTGTAAAAGCAGTTTGGCAGTTCATGCTTTCACAGGAACCTGCTTTTTAAGAGGCCAGGTTACCCAGGCTTTCCACCAATTTTTGGAAACTGTGTTTACTTCTCATATACTTGGTGAAATTGCACAAGGCAGAGACAAGTACAGGAATTTATGTTCAATTTCAGCATCATTATACTCATCTGATATTCCTGACAGACAGTCACTCTGTCTTCCTCTCTGGGTACATGGGATAATGTTCATATGTCCAACTTTCTCTCCAAAAGTCTTTCTATACCAATTGCCAAATTCTTTAGAGAAATTCACCAGGAAGCTCACTTTTTTTTTTAAATTTTATTTTCATTCTTTTCCCCCCCCTTCCTTCTGTTTTACCATGTTCACATTATCTTCCCAGAAATAAGCATATGCAGTTTAGACTCTTCCTACCTCTCGGGCTGATTGGAAGCCCCATGACTGTAGTGGTGTGGTGCCAGACCCGGGCTCTAAACCTGCCCTTAAGCAAAGTTTATTAGCTCAGGCTCTGTGCCATGCTAGCTGTGTTCATACAGCTTCTGGTCAAGTTGGCTGCAAGAGCAGAGCAAACGTGGTTTTGTTTGGACTGTAGGGAGGGGAACTTGGGTCTGTCTGAAATCTGCTGTGTGGAAGTGCTCTAATTCATCCAACGTGGGTGGCCAGCACACCCTTCCCACAAACCGCCAGCTTTTCCATTCATTATCTGCACCCTTTGTCCGTCTGTCAGCTCTGCTTCCACCTATACATTCCCTAGCTAGCAATTTCTCTTCACTGAACAAAATAACTTGACTCCTCTAAATGTTGTTTCATAAATTCTCAGTCCTCTGCACCCAAATTTGACATTGCTGTCCCTAAATTGGGCAGGTGAATGGCCCATTATTAATACACTAATTAATGAATCTTCTGTCTTCCTCCAACTGTTCTATTGTGAGGTTGCCTTCTTTCTTGCAGGACTTGGGGCTACACGGGCAGTTTTCTTCTCTGCATGGACACTTTGTTTTATGTCCCTCCCCTGAAAAGATCAGGAGCGTTGTTTTCTGTGCACCCTGTCCCCTCCTCTCAAGCAGTCTTGTGTCACTAGGTATCACTGTGCCTTGCTTTTCAGACAAAGAGAGTGGCTGGTAATCTGTTCTCCTTCCTGTCTTTTTTCTCTAACTCACATTAAAGGAACTGCTAGCTTTTAGAAAAGCAGTGTTTCTACGTTGTCTTCTTACTCCTCTTCCATAAATTGTAAACTTCCTCTAACTCTAGAGTTGTGAAATCGAAAAGAAAGTTTGAGTTAGTTGCCTTCGAGTCAGCTCCTTGCTACTGCCACATACTTTTTGCAGGTAGGTCAGAACACTTTACCTGATAATGTGGATAAACTCTTGACTCTGTTGATAATACAAAAGAAAACAGACACCAGGTTTTAGCTCAGAATCTACTTTTTCTGTGTGTTCAAACAGCTAAATGTCTTGACCTTGTTGCCTGTTTTATTGCCTCAGTGGGTACATGTGCCAAGGTGATAAAACAAACTGCTACTTGATATCCAGGTGGCACTGCCAAATTCGTGGCTTGCTCCATATGTCTCATGCAGGGTACTATTCTGGAATGACATTTTTGAGACTGAAAGCTGGCTTTCTTTTTTCTTCTTGGTGTGTAGGTCCCATCTTTGAAGGCTCTCCTGTTTTAAGTCTCCTTAGCTGTAAATCATCAGAGCAGTGAGAGATAGGGATTTAAGTGCTGCTGCTATTGAAATTAGGTGAGTTGGAGTGCTGAGGTTTGAATTAGCCCCCCCTAAGCAAGCACCTGTGTTTTGTTTTTTAACCTCGGAGGCAATGAGAAATGGCAAATCTAATGCCACTGTCACAATTTTAGTGGTGTATTACCACATGGATATCTCTGCTGGCTGGTCAAAGACCAGTTTCATATTATGTACTTTTACCTGTAGTGGGGTCATGCCCTTTCATTTTGATGGCAGGTGAACATCCAATCTGCTGTACAAAAGGATGTCAGAAACATTATTATCATTCTTGTCCTTTTCAGTTCGAAAGGATTTAAGTGGGCTTGATGATGTGACACTTACGAGCCAATCGGAATGCGGAGGTGAGATCTAGAAGTTGTTTCCATTACATTTGTGGAATTTAAATTATTAGAAAGTCATAAATTATGAGTGAACACTTTTTGTGGATGATAATCCTTACAGAATGAAATGGTGAACGTGTAAAACATCTTTGTTGCCATTTATTTCCAAATAACCCTGCTAAGTTGCTGTAGTTTAGTTACTGAAGGTCAGCTTGCAGTAAGTATATATACTTTTAGCTTATGGCAAACGTAAAATGTGTTAGCTCAAATTTCAGTGAACAAGTTGTAAGCTAATTCATTTTACCGTGTGTTAGCGATGAAAGAAGAGTATACATGGTAGATGTGAGTTAGAGTGCCGCATGATGCATAAGCTGACAGTAACTGTGTTAATTCCAACTCCTAATTTACTGTTTTTTGGGATGCTTCATCTTACTGATTTAAAACAGTATGTTGGGATTTCTTGCAACAGTAATCTGACTCCTGCTGATTTGACTTTTCTAATAGCACTCACACAGAGTAATTTTCCTGGAGCCCAATGGTGTGCAGGCTTTGAAAGTTTAAGTTGGGTGTTAGATGTTGGTATCTTCATTCCCAGTATTAAAATGAAGACCAGTTGCTCTGCGGAGTTTGTAGCTAACTTTAAAAAACCATGTTTCTATAGGTAATAATTTTTAAGACAGCTTTACAGGCAGGGAATTTCTGTGCACAAAGGCTCAGGAAGCTGCATAAGTGAGAAGAAAGCTAAAGTCTTTGGATGGGATAAAGAATTTTGGAGGTTCCTAAGGTATATGAGAAATCTAGAGTAATGGATGTCTTTCTGACTGTGCTTTCAGGCTTCTCCAGCGACAGCGACCTGATCTCTCTGACAGTCGATGCAGACTCTCTTGCTGAGTTAGATGATGGAATGGCATCCAACCAAAGTTCTCCCAGTAGAGCTGTTGGCCTTTGCCTTACTTCTGAACCCCCAGTACGAAGCACACTGGCACCTGAGCAGGAGTGGAGCAAACCCGAAGGAGAGAGGGAAAGCCATAGTCTGTTTACTGGAAGCTTAAAACCCAGGCCTGGCAAACAAGATTACTTGGAGAAAGCAGGCGAGTTGATAAAACTGGCCTTGAAGAAGGAGGAGGAAGAAGATTATGAAACTGCCTTCAGCTTTTATAGAAAGGGGGTTGATCTGCTTCTGGAAGGTGTTCAAGGTATGGATCTTCCCGCTATGTTTGCCTTACCTTTGGTTATGGGTATTTGTTTATGGCGTTTCCGTAGTTAACATCAGCTTACTGTGTTGCAAAGAGGTGATATGAAATGCAGAATGATGTGTGCCTGGCTTTCACGTGCTTGATAGCTGCTGTGCATATGAGAGAGAGAGAGAGAGATCTTTCTCTCTAAGACTGAATGATAATTTAGGGTCTCATCTTCCAAGTGCCAAATACCTCCTCGTTTAAAATTGCAGCACAACCTCCGACTTGCAGGTAAGTAGTGAAGTGCTCCACTTTTGCCTCTTTCCTTTTTATTACCTAGGCATTAATTAATATGTGGCACTTGTAGCACTGTAGAAACATTATTTAATTTACATGGTTAAGTGAGGATTAATTATCCCCATTTTACGCATGGGGAGAGGCAGACTCAGGTTAACTTCCCAGTCACAACAGGATTAGAACTATTCTTGGCTTATAGCCTCTTGCTTCTTCCACTAAACTGTTCTCCTTTTCTAGCTAAAGGACGCATACAAACTTACGTGCCTGCACTGCTGGAGGAGAACAGGATTATTTTTTTTTTTTTCAAAAGACTTTGGTGTGTCAATATTAAGTCTGCAAAACCTGTTGTTAACTGACCAGATGCAACTACATGCGAATTTCTGTGGACTCTCCTTGCATCTTGTCAGTCAGGGAACAATTTTTTCCCCTTCCATCTCTAGTTCTTGAGAATCTAGAGCAATAACCTCATATTTGCATTTTGTCCAACAACGGTTTAAAACTATAAAGCACAGGAAAAGATTTGTTCTTTCCTTGAGTGAATTCAGGGCCTGTGTATTGTGCTTCTGTCCCACGCAGGTCAAATGAGTAACATCAGAATTGTGGCTTTGTTTGATGGTATACAGCACAGATGCATTATGCTGCTCCAGAGCTGAACTTAAATGCCAATGTACCAAAGAACATACAACCAGAAGCCTTTGCTGCATCTCGGTAGGATGCACGGCAGTGGTCCAGACCCTCTGAACAGTTCTAGGAATGAAAGTTACCTGCTGAGCTGCTTTAACAGGGCCTGGCAAAAAATAATGGATAGGTTACTGATGAAAACTAGAGGTGTGGGCCAAGATATGTGCATAGCTTTTGCTTGAAGTGTCTTTTTACTTTTTGGCAAAAGTAAATCTTCCTCTTTCTTTTCAAGTCCCAGTGATGTCAGTAGGGTTACTGCTTTGCTGCTTGTTGTAGCTTTTCAATAGCATCCTATCTTTCCTTGCCCATGTTATCAAAATACTTTTCATTCTTGATATTGAATGTGCTGGCAATCCTTCTGTTGGAGAGCCCAGCTATTCTTTCTTTACTAACACACTTCTTCATAGACCTGTGTGCCATGCAGTTATAGTCTTCTAAAGAATATCCTGTTTCATCATAACCAATTCTGTCTTCTCGCCATGATGCAAGGCTGCTGTGATGCAGTTTCAAACTGACAGTTCGAGTTTCAGCTTCAAAAAGCTTTCTTTATTAAACAGTTGCAAACTGTTAGGGCATGAACACAAGTCAGGCTATCGCACATCAGTTGAGCTGTGGTAACTATGCATGCGTACTTGACTTGTGGCAGTGATTAAACATGTTGGCTTTGAATCCGTGGTAATCCTTATGGTAATATGTTTACCTTGAAGTTTACCTTGAAGTTGTGACCAACCAAACTTGCATGTATTGTAGGTGACTTGCTCAACTGATGCATAATAATGCGTTGAACTAGAGTGGGTTGAGCTTTTTACTTACATTTGCTAACATTTCCTCTAAGGACTTTTGCTTCTTTGCCGTTGACTAGCTACTCATCCAGCTACCTCAGATGACTGCTAATCATTTTCTCTCACCCACTGGTATCCGTGCTTTTCAGGCTAGGAAAAAATTCAAGGCGTCTTAGAAGAGTGTGATATTCTGCCCTGTTTTCCTGATGCCACTCAGATAGTACAGTGGGGGTTATTAATAAATTTATAGTGGTGGGACCTCTGTGTGTGTGGGTAGAGGTGTTCCTGATGGATGAAGAGATGTGTAGCCAGCACTTGCAACTTTTTCTGTGCAGTCCCTGATATTGCATCTGTACAGCACAAGGAAGGGAATAACAGGAGTGAGTTGCTTTTTAACTGGCATCTTATCCCTTGGGAACATAAATGTACAGGGGCTAGTTCTTAGCAGTCAGCTCTTCTTTCTTCTTTCTCTGTGTTACCCTGTATGGCTGTGGAGGTGGAAAGGAAATTAATGTTCGTCCTCTGCTGGGCACTTACACTAAATTTGGCTAGATACAGCTCGTCTTGTGTCCTTTCTCTTTGGAGCTTCTGCAAGCTGGCAAGGAGACACTGATGTCCTTCTTTATAACGATAGGCCTGATTCAAACGCGTTCCTAAAAATATATGCCTTCTCAGGATCTATGAGGACAGTAAAAAACCAACCAAACAAAAAAACCCCAAAACCAAAAAACCAAGACCCCAACAAAAAACCACGAATAACTATCTGTATCATGCTTTTTAATCTAGCTACTTTGAGGGTGATAGTGTTTAGTGTTGATATGTGGATATTCACTGTATGTTGCAATAAAAAAACCAACCTTAACTTAATCACTTCAGCTATTTAAACACCCATGGTTATGTATTTCACATGGATAATAACATGCTTCAAAGATAAGGATGGTGCAATTGTTACAAAATGCCTATTATCTTCTGCCATTGATTATTTTTATACTATTTTGTGTAAATTAGCCTTCGTAATATCTGAAAGTGAAACACAGCATTCATATATGCTTACACACACATATAAAGTGACATTGCCTTTCAGTGTATAGCCATTGCAGAATGTGTGGCCTCTCTTTAGAATGGACGGGAAGTGGCTTTTGCAAGTTATATGGTAATACATATTTTTGCCACGTGGTGGCACCAAGGAAATAGAAATTGACACCTAAGAATTGCAATCGGGAAACGTAACCAGTGTACCAGGGGGAAAAAAAACCACATCCATCCTGTGTTTGAAACTTCTCTCAGAATTAGCTTGGAAATGTAGTGCCTCTATAAGTTGGTTAGATGTATCTGAAAGATAAGGGTGTCTCTGTTGCCAGCTGCTCCTTTAGGCTTGGTACAAGATGATCTACTTCTTAAGGCTGCCTCGTCAAAATCGTGTACGAGTAAGTTTATTACTGCAAGTGTATAGACTTGTGTTGTTTAGCTTGAAGTAGCTGGCTTCCATAAAGGCAGTCGGAGCACACTTGAGTCTGTTACTTTACTGATGACTTTCCAGCTCTCTGAGCTGGTGACACTAATGCTAGACGAGGCAGGTGGTGCATGTGCTTACACCAAAGAAAGGTACATCTTGACTTCATTTTCAGCTGTGTGTGCATGCTCTCACAACTATAGTGGTGTTAATTATACTGTGCAAGGTGCATTTTCCTCTGCTAGTCTCTTGCAGAGTTCTAGTACTAAATCTTTTAATGTCCTATTCACAGTCCTGCCAAAAGGCCTGATCTGCATGTCACTTGGGGAATGAATGCCGTCTGTGCTCCGAGAGGCTGGTGTATACCTTGGACTCTGGGCATCTGCTCTTTATACATCTTGGGCCTAGTTCTGCTCCGTACATGGATTTTAATATTAAACATGTTTGTCAGCGGGAGGGAGGAGAAATGCATTCTTGAACTGGCAGCAGAGCCCTTGGACTACCCATTGAACTACCTGCACCTCTTGTACCTCCCTGCTTCATTTATACCAGAGCTCCCTCATGTGCAGTGAGAGGGAATGGCTGCTATCCTTTCCTTTTTTCTCTGAATACGTACTGATTCTGCTGCCCCTCTTGCATTTTCTGGGTATTGTTGTGTACAGGATTTTGGAGCTTTTGGAAAGGAGGTCTGTAAGGGTTGTATAGGATGGTTAAACAATTCTCTAGAAGCTGAAACCTTCAGGAACTCAAATCTTCTGCCTTTTAAAGCATACTAGAAGATAAGTATATTAATTGATAGAAACTTTGGCTCACAATTATAGCTGTTCCTTTGTTTTGTTAGCATGCCAGAGCACTTTGAGGTCATTGCATTGCTTCAGGCCTAGTGATGGAAAAAATGCACTAATCGATAGCAAGCCACCAACTTCTAGGCTGGAAGTTAACTGTGTTTTATGTGAAGTAGTGCTTTCCCTGACTTTGGTGTAGGACGTAGTTTATGTTAGGAAAAAGTAGATCAGGAGGCTAAAATTGTGTTTTGTAATAAAGGAGGGAGTCCTGTCTGCATAAACTGCTCCTCTTTTTCCAACTCCCAACTGTTCTCATGTTATATCCATTGTGGATCTGGGCAATCTGAGCTGTGAGATAAACATAGTTAATATTATTGCTTATCGCTGGGTTTCAGTAACTTCAGGCACATGATGAAGCAAGAGCGCTTCACAATTTGGTCAGTCTAATTCGTATAGAAAAGTACAGGATCTGTTCCATGTGGTTTAGAAAGCAAATGTGTTCATTGCTGGTCTGTTGCATACAAGGTTCCATGTTACACATTAACATCTGAAGGGAGATGATCCATTTACTCTGTTAGAGATTTGGGGTGTTTGTTTTCACATGTGTAGCAGCTGTAGCTGGGCACAATGAATATTCATTTGTTTTAGGGGGCTGGTTCAGCTAGGCAGCATGGACCTTGTTGCATGAAGTATGAGGTGCCTCTTAAGCCAGCTTAGCAGCCACGAGCTGTTTTCTAGGTATCTGTATTTTGCATTAGGTATCTACAACTTCTAGATAAGCTGCTGGTGTCTTTGAAAGCGGGCTGCGAATGTCAGTTTTGCACTGCTCAGTGCTATTTTAATGTTTATGTAGTAAACAGAGCTGGAACAAAAATTACACAAATTACTGGAACCTTGCTAAAATGACTTTGACTTTTAACCCAGAAATGCATATACAATGAAATGCTGGGAATACTTTGGACAACTAGATGATATTTTTGGATATTCTGAAAACAAACCAACTTGTGTCTAATTACTGGG